TTGTGGTGAGGCAATTTTGAAACGAGAATGTTCCGCCATCTAGTTTGCGCATTTCATAAAACAGATATTTTAATCTTTTCTACATGGAACACACACATAAAAAACTAGAAGTAAAAATCAGTGATTATTTTTAATTTACTTTTGAAAGTGTAGCCGTATTTTTCAAACGCCTTACATAATTATTTTACGTCGCAATTGTATAACTTTAATCAGTTAAGTGTTTGCGAAAAATAACTCCTTTAATTAGAGGAAGAAATTAATGTTATGCACGGAACAATAATGATTTCGTAAATACAATGGTGTGTTCTTTTTTTTTTCTTTTTTCACTATTTACTGTTAGTAATCGAGTTTATTTTTTTTTAAAATTAGCAATATATATATTTTTTCATTTACAGTAACACCTATGAAAATAAATTGTACTTTCTTACTGTGTGTAACAATGAAGTATGTTAACATGCCTAATCTACACTGCACAGAAATTGTATAAAACTAATAAATACAAGAGAAATAAGAAACCAGGTTACATGTTAACAATCAAGCAGCATATCCGCGGCTAGTTCCAGTCACTGTCAGTCCGCTAGATGGCGCTGTTAGCTCTATTACACTGGTACAAGTGTAGTCGAATTTTTTGAAAACTTTTTGATGAAATTTGATTATCTGACATTTTGTAAAACTTCTGCGCAATTGAACTTTTAAATCTTTAAGAAATATTTTAACATCTTAATAGTGTATATTAATCGATTGCTGTTCATACATAAGAAATTATTTAGAATTTACAAAAATTTTGTTTAATAGTAAATTGTATTACCTTTATAAAAGAATTTATGAATACAATTCCAAATACATCTTAATCTCAATTTGTTAAAACTTTCCTTATATGCAATCAGTAATAATTCCCTCCGAAGTTTAATTATCATTTTCTCTCAACCAAACGCTATCTATGCGATCTATGTGAACAATACCTTGTTAAACTAGGATTTCGGAGATGTTTGAGGTGTAAAAGTGTTGGTACTGAAAAGAGTTTTAAGGACTTCCCCTTCTATAAAGCCCAATATCGACATGTAGGAAGCACTTCACATTCCAGCTCATACCAGTTGATCATATAAATAGATGGCGCTGTGTTTAAAATATCAAGACATAATGATATAAATAGATGGCGCTACATAATGCAATTATTAATAATTCCCTCCGAAGTATAATTATCATTTTCTCTCAACCAAACGTTATCTATGCGATCTATCTGAACAATACCTTGCTAAACTAGGATTTCGGAGATGTTTGAGGTGTATAAGTGTTGTGGAACTGAAAAGAGTTGTAAGAACTTCCCCTTCTATAAAGCCCAATATCAACATGTAAGAAGCACTTCACATTCCAGCTCATACCAGTCGATCATATAAATAGATGGCGCTGTGTTTAAAATATCGACATAATGATATAAATAGATGGCGCTACAGATTGTGCCAGTCGTGGAAAACACCAAATTTTGGCTTATGCCAGTAATAATTATAAATATGTTAAATTAATAAAACCCTTAAAATTAAAAACTTGACCATTGCGTTTGAAAAGAATTTATGGTATCCGATAATGTCGTCAATGTTCGTTTGGGTAACGATAGGAAAATCAGTCACTAACTTGGGTCCCTCTCACCAGTGTTTCCCAACCTTTTTATCGCCGCGGAAGGATGAACGTTTCATAATCTTACCACGGCCCGATAAGGAGGAATGAGCGGAGGACGTTGATTGCTTATATTTTAGAATTTTTGGTTTAATAACTTTAACTTAATTATATTTGAATATGCCTTCAGAATAAATTACAGTTTCCGGTCTTTCGGTCTATTGTTTGGGCATATGGGCCGCATGCGGTCCCCAATCCCATATCTGGCAGTGGATTTGAGGGCCGAATTTTTCGTTTAAAATCAGTTACCCAAAAATGAATAAAAAGGGATTTCTTAAAATAAAATGATTTTAAAGGGAAAATCACAAACCCGAAAGAAATATACCTCGAAAAAAAAATGGAAAAAATTTTAAAGTCCTTAGGGGGCCCCGGTACTTGAACCCACGGACCGCTACCGGTCCGCGGCCCAGGGTTTGGGGACCATTGCTCTAACCGAAAAAGGCCGAAAGTTTTCATTGTTTCCACTCGAGATACGTTCTATCACTCATGTCTCAGGGGTGAAAACAGAATTCGAATGATGAAACTCAAAGGCGTCGAGCGACAGACCTTTGAAGTAGGACCCAAACATGATTCATTGACTTGGAGCCTGCAGTGTAAGTGTAAATATAGATAAAATTAATAAAAATTCTTTAAAGTGCTTGGGTGCTTAAGGCAAAATTAAATTCCTAATTAATTTCGCATCGTCAGAGCTCAGATGTCTCCCTCTGGTTAGGAAACTGAGTGTCAAAATTATATTGTGGCATTTGGGTTTCCCTTTTTGGGTGCCCCCAAAAAAAGTACACCAGCCCCGGGGAAGGGCTGGGTCTGCAATGAAAAATTTCCCAATGCACACCCCCCATGAAAAGGGGAAATGATATTCAACAAAAGACTGATGAATTAATTATATAAATGTTTTATCTCTGATCAAAGACTAAATACCCATCCGAACAATTTTTTTCCCCTAAAATTTAAAAGGAAAATATACGTTTTCAGTTAAATAATTAGGGAAAACGTCTTTTTTATTATAATTACTCATAATGCGCTAAATGATATATTATATGCATAAAACCAGGCCAGGAAAATTTTCCCGGTGATGTTCATGCGTTTCCCCAGCCCCGTACAGGTCGAACGCCCCCAAAATACAAAATAAAAACCCATTTGAATTAATATACTGTTTATAAGGAAAAATTATGCAACGTTATGGAAAGAAATGTCTTTTTTCCCAATCCGAGTCTATAGATTGACAAAATTTCTTAGTAACATTTAATAAAAGATAAACACACAAAATCTAACTGCTTTGAGAAGATGTATGCATAACACCAATAACGCAAACAAAATATTTGTTAATGTTAAAATGATTTCTTTAAAAAATATTTCTAGATAACACACATGACGAAATAAAAAGCTTGGCTGTAATGTGCACCTTCATAGAAAGCGGAAATATGCCGTATGTGTAAAAAAGGCTCTTAATTCTTCTATCAAATAAAGCATCCAAAGTCAAGCCTATTATATTTTTCTTATAATAACGTTGCAACTATTGTTCATATTAAGAAAATTATAGTAAAAATAAAGAACAAATTTTTTTCAATTTACTAAAAAGAGCGACAAAAACAGAAGAAAACATATTTTAAAAAATATTGTAAAATTTATTAAATGTTAAAAATGTACCACTAAATTAAATAGAAACAGTTTTTTATATATGTGAGAATTATCCTTGCTCGTTAACTTTGCGCAGCGGCAGTGTCATAGCCAATGAGGTTCTACTGAGGCGTGACTATTGCTAGTTGAAAAATTTTTTCCCCAAAACCCCGCCCGTCGACGTGAAATACCGTCGGGCCCGGGAATTTGGGGAAACCCCCTCGGGGGTTTTAAAAATTGAAGGTTAGACTACAACATCATTCTCTCTTAGATTGGAATTCACGCATGTCTCTATCCAGATAGAAATGGAGTGTTTAATGGAAGAAACTATTAATGTTTTTAAATCTGTTCTCTAAAAACGCATGCAGGAATTCCGTTACCTCTTATAAGTTAGATATATGCTTAATTACCTATTTTTTTAAAAAAAATGATTATATTTTTAAAAATTTAACTATATTATATTCGATTTTCATCAATAAGCGACTTCAAAACACCCTTTGTAGGTATTTGTTACAAGCTTTTATTTAACTTGCAGTGTAAAATGTTCGGGTGGAATCATGCAACTCAATTTTGAAGCTGATGTCTTCAACCGATTGAGCTGACATTTTGTATACACTTTTAATTTGGATGACAATTCATGTTTTGAACATTTATATTCCGATATCGCAATTAATTAAAAAGATATTAATTACAGTAATTTGTTCGGGTGGAATCTTGCAACTCAATTTTGAAGCTGATGTCTTCAACCGATTGAGCTGAAATTTTGTGTACACTTTCAGTTTAGATGACAATGCATGTTTTGAGCATTTATATTCCGATATCGCAACTAATTAAAAAGATATTAATTACATTAATTTGTTCGGGTGGAATCTTGCAATTCAATTTCGAAGCTGATGTCTTCAACCGATTGCGCTGAAATTTTGTATACACTATTAGTTTGGATGACAATGCATGTTTTAAACATTTAAATTCCGATATCGCAATTAATTAAAAAGATATTAATTACAGTAATTTGTTCGGGTGGAATCTTGCAACTCAATTGAAGCTGATGTCTTCAACCGATTGAGTTTAAATTTTGTTACACTTTAGTTTGATGACAATGCATGTTTTAAAAAAATTTTAAATTCCGATATCGCAATTAATTAAAAAGATATTAATTACATAATTTGTTCGGGTGGAATCTTGCAACTCAATTTCGAAGCTGATGTCTTCAACCGATTGAGCTGAAATTTTGTATACACTTTTAGTTTGAATGACAATGCCCGTTTTGACGATTTATATTCAAATATCGACTTAGATACTGTAACGATCTTGTTCAGGTGTTAAGGCCAGAATGTTTACAATAATAAAGGTGTGGTCCGGGGGCGTAGCTCAGATGGTAGAGCTTTCGCTTAGCATGCGCGAGGTACGGGGATCGATACCCCACGCCTCCAATTATTATTTTTTCGTGTAAAATATTTTTGAAATTCGTTTGATTTTTAAAACGAGATATTTTACAATGCTTCCACTCTGCATTATATTTTTACTGTTCTAGAGGAAATACTGAAAAGGCAGATCTGTCAAACTATTTCTATTTATTTTGAAACATTCTATGATATCTATTTACTCGATTCTAGTTTCTCCCGTAACACTTTTAATTGACCTAGTTACTGTAACGATCTTGTTCAGGTGTTAAGGCGAGCATGTTTACAATAACAAAGGTGTGGACCGGGGGCGTAGCTCAGATGGTAGAGCACTCGTTTAATACGAGAGAGGTACAGGGATCGATACCCCGCGCCTACAACTATTATATTTTCGTGTAAAATATTTTTGAAATTCGTTTGATTTGTTCAACGAGATATTTTACAATACTTCCACTCTGTATACGTACAAAGTATGTTATATTTTACAAGCTTTTTTTAACTTACAATGTAAATTTTGTTCGGGTGGAATCTTGCAACTCAATTTTGAAGCTGGTGTCTTCAACCGATTGAGATGAAATTTGGTATACATGCTTAGTTTGGATGAATATGCATGTTTTGACCATTTATATTCCGATATCGCAGTTAGTTAAAAAGACTAGTTGCACGGGCTTTCTCTACTTTTATAAATTTTCCCTTTCCTTCACAAAATTAGCACTTCTAATACTCTTTTTCAAAATGACTTCCACCCACCCCTCCACTTAGCCCGGCGTTTCTCGGACTTTTACCGAGTGTATAACTTAAAATTCCCTGTTTCGAAATTTTTCGCTTCTTTTCTTTGTCAGACAGCTTTATTTCTCACCGGCGTTGCACGAACATTTTTAAATGCATGACATATTGTCATGGAAATTCCCTTCCTCTCTCGCTATCAGAGCTCTCGAGTAAGTAAACATTAATCGATTCTTAAACAGCTTGACAGGGGGAGTGTAAAACAGGTAACCAAAAAAAAAAGCTTGTTTGAGTGTACTGAATCGTTTACAAAGAAAGAGAAGAAGTAAACGTGTCATTACGCCGTTTCCGAGGACAATATGAGCAGCTGCCGCAGTTTGAAAGGGGAGAATCATCGGTATGTTGAAAGCTGGGTGGTCAGCTAGGCGAGTAGCTCGTCAATTAGTCCGCTCTGATTGTGTTGTGAGGAGGTGTTGGGACTAGTAGCTCCGAGAGATGTCATTTACACGAAGACCATGCTCAGGACGCCCTCGACAGACCAGTCGTCGAGAAGACCACCACATCGTTAGAAATGTACGCGTACAGCTAACTGCTTCATCGACCGCCATACAGGCCCATGTTGCACCTTCACTAGGGGTCCTGTGTCTTCTCGAAACATACGAAGACGCCTGGCTGAAGGACATTTGGGATCGCTGCGTCCATTACGTGGGCTGCCCTTGACACCCAACTATCGAAGCCTCCGTTTGGACTGGTGCCGTGCATTAGGAAACCGGACTGCAGCGGAATAGAACCAGGTCTGCTTTAGCGATAAATCCTGATTCAACCTCAGCAGTGATGGCAATCGTGTTCGTGTGTGGAGACCCCGCAGTGAACGCCACAATCCTGCCTTTGCTTTACAGCGACACATCGCTCCCACAGCTGCTGTGATGGTATGGGGTGCCATTGCCTACAATACAGGGTCACCCGTACCATTGATCCGTGGTAACATGATAGCCCAGTGGTATGTCCATGACATCCTGCAACCACATCTGTTGCCATTCATGCAACGGCTCCCGGGAGTCATTTTTCAACAAGACAATGCTCGGCCTCACATGGCAAGGATGCCACAAGACTGTCTCCGCACTGTTACTACCCTTCCTTGGCCTGCCCGATCCCCAGATTTGTCTCCAATCAAGCATATCTGGGATAATTTGGGACGGCGAGTTGGGCATCCCACGATTTTGAACGAACTAGAGGCAAGGTTACAGAAAATAAGGAACGAAATGTATCAAGACATGATTCAGAACTTGTATGCCTCATTGCCCCATCGTATCGCATCGTGCATTCGCGCTATATATAGAGGGGTTCAACAGGGTATTAAATCCTCCGTTCTTTTGCTTTTTTCTCTGAAATAATTGATCCTTTTTCTTTGATTTTCTAATCATTTACTTACATCAAAGTTGTCATTATGTATGTAAAATTTCGTTTCCTTTTGACTACTCCATCTTGGTGCTTTAATTTTTTTGTCCATGATTGTATAATCGCACGAAAATATTTTTTCGTGTGTAGAATAGTATTTTTCAAATTCGGCACAAAAGAATTGAAAAAATTGGTTTAAAATAACGGATTTTAAAAAATTCTGTTTTTCGTTTTTAATATAGTATTATAGTAAAAGCAAAAAAAAAAAGTGTTTTAATATTTTAATTAATTTTGCATTGTCCAATGTTGTTTTGATCTTACAGTGTTTATCCCCCTCCCTTCCCATTATCCTCTTGTTGCTGCCCGAGAGAAATATCTATCATATTTATGTGGCTTGGCGGGAAAAAAGGTTGATTACCCCTTAGTTGGACTGTTCAAAATTAACCGGTAAACGACTTTGCAACAATCATGCGTTGATGAGATTAACAGACTGAGAAACCTCTGTCCAGCGATAACTAAAAAGTAAAAAATAAATTAAAAGTAAAAAAAACTTTTTTAAAAACAAGCTTTTATTTAAATGCTCTAAAAAGAATAAAATAAACTTTTCTTTTAAAACCTTTTTTGCTATCAACTTATAAAGGCGTTACACAATTTATGATATAAAAGCTTGTCGCGAGGTTTATCTGTGTAGATAAACAAACAAATTAAATAACCTGATCTGATTGATTTTAATTTTTAAAATTTTCAAACTAAGTAAATACGAGTACTTAAATCTCGCGACAAGCTTTTATATCATAAATTGTGTAACGACTTTATAAGTTGATAGCAAAAAAGTTTTAAAAGAAAAGTTTATTTTATTCTTTTTAGAGCATTTAAATAAAAGCTTGTTTTTAAAAAGTTTTTACTTTTAATTTATTTAAGTATCACATCAAGGTACAAATAACCATAATTATACAAAGGTAGGGGAAAAAGATATTCATTTTTCTTATAGAAATATTATAGTTCAAATAAAATTTTTGGAAATGTTAACCTACTGATTGGTAAAATGAATGAAAAAATAAATAGCAAATTGAGGTAGTTCATCTGAAATTCTATTTACTGGTATACTCAGATGTGGATTAAGCTAATTGGAGGCCCCTGGCGGTGAAAGATTTGAGGCACATGAACTCAAAATTAAAATAGTGAAAAGATTCGCTGACCTTAAATTCTCAAAATCAAAAATGTATAGCTAATAATAAATCTCAACGGTTCAAGAAAAATTTTAACTGTACTTTAAAAAGCTAAAATCCTTACTAAAGAGCTTACAATTTTATTATATAACTTAAAGTCTTGATTTCTCTTTGGCACATTCATCAATTATCTTTGGTGTATCTACACTGCGGGCAGAGACGGATTAAAGTTGTTGGAGGCCACTGGCGGTAAGAGATTTGAGGCCCATGGGTTCAAGAGTCGAAAAACTAAAATAGTGTAAAGATTTGCTGACTTTAAATTCTTAGAAATTATTGTTGATAATAAAACTCAATGGGGCTAAAGAAAAATCTTAACTGTATTTAAAAAAATTAAAAACCTTACTAAAGAGCTTATATATACAATTTTACTATACAACTTTACGCCTTGATTTCTCATCGGCAAATTAATCAATTATTTTTGTTCAAAACATCTTGTTCTATATACATTGACGGGAAACAAATTCCAACACCAAGAAAGACTTGTGTTACATAAACGAAATTTGGTTGTAGTGTTTATACATCTGAAAGATGACATCGATTCAAATTTCGCGCTTAATTGCACTAATCAGGGTTGCTTTAAATGCTTGCTGTAAAGTTCGTGAGCGTTATTTGTCCGTGAAATTTGACGAATTGAGTTGATGTCAGCCAAAAATACCATTAAGGTATCCGACTATGTTCGGAACCGTGATTTTAAAAAAGCGCATAAATAGATAATTTTCATGATATTTAGTGTCACTTAGATTAGAATACATGTATAAAATTGTTTTAAGAATATTTTGACAAAAAAAAAAAATTAAATGCAATATTTTGCCAAAAAAGTAACTTAGAATAACCTTTTTCTCCTTTTATAAAAAATGCTTCTAAAATAATATTTTGTGTGTGTGTGTGTGCTCTCTTATATAAAATAAAGACTTCTCCAGAGAGTCTGAACTATTTTTTTTTGAAAAATTCATATTATTTTCAGAGTTACAACCCATTGAAATAATTATCGGCGTTTTTTTCTTAAAATTTCTCCCTCTGTTGTCGTAAAACATGGATAAACCCACACTTCTAAGTTATATATTTCAAACATTCTAGTTGAGCCTCTGTACAGAGGTCTGAGCTATAGACAGGCAAAATATTATTATAAGAAGCATTTTTCACAAAAGGAGAATATTTTGAAAATGGGTCATTCTATGTTCATTTTTTGTCAAAATAGTGTACTTAAATAATTTTTTATTGTAATACTATTGTTAAAACAATTTTCTATACATTTTCTTATCTAAGTGACACTAAATATCATAAATATTATCCAGTTATACGCTTTTGCAAAATCACGGTTCCGAAGGTAGTCGGATACCTTAAAAAGACAAAGTTATTATCAACAGCTTAACGAGTTTGAACGAGGTCACGTAATAAGGCTACGAGAAGGTGAATTTTGTTTCTGCGATATTGCAAAAAGGTTTGGCCAGAATTTATTCACTGTGCAGGATTGTTGGGAGCAGTGGTCAAGGGATGGTACTGCCTCAAGAAGACCTGGTTTCATGGCGGCCACATGCAGTTACTGAGAGGGAAGACCACCGTATTCAGCGTACGGCTGTAGCTCATCGAATTGCGCGTCTGTGGCAGAAATTCAAGCTGCAGTTGGTACTACAGTGACACACAACGAACTGTTAGAAATGAGTTACGTTAAGGATGCCTCCGAGCCAGGCGTCCTGTAGCGCGTATTCCACTGACTCCATGCCATTGCCGTTTGTGAAGCCCGTGATGTCAAGCCAGTGCTCATTAGAGGACGGAGTGGAGATCTGTTGTGTTTTCTGATGAAAGCAGGTTCTGCCTTGGTGCCAGTGATGGCCGTGTGTTGGTCAGAAGGAGGCCAGGGGAACGCCTAGGTCTGCGCAGCGATACTCAACCTGTGACCCGGTCGTGGCCCATTGCTCTGAAAAGTTTTATTTAAGAACATCGTATTAAAATTTGGTGGGAAATTCTTTGTCAGGAAATCAAATATATCAATTTTGCTTTTTTGCTGTCGGTGTCGTATGGGTAC